GGTTGTAAATCTGTATTTAACTCTAACTGAGCCAGGTTACTTGACTTTATGGTAATCAATTTGTTTTGAATAATAGAGATGATTTTATTCTGCGATGAGCTTACCAATTCTCTAACAGTAGTCAACAAGTTATGCTTGTCGTTTGAAGATTCTTTGAGATGCTTCGCAAACATTATAGTATACAACTCCACTAAGTTGTAAATAGCATATATTGTTGCTAATTTAGTTTCAGAAGTTATAACTTGTTCAATTTTAGATTTGACTGATCTAGACAATGAGTTCAATATCCTACCAGTAACATCGTCGATTATATCCTTATATTCAACGTCTTCGTCCTCACTTTCTTCTTTGCTGATCGCAAATAGACCACTAATAGTCTCAGTTTCATTAACCACTACAGAATGAATGTAAGCCAACAAGTCACCAATAAATCTGACAGGATCATGGGCGGAGAGAATAATAGGCCTATCGTGTTGGATAGATCCTGATCTATTGTCACCAGACTTATCTAAATCTCCATTGATCTGATTCAAAAATTCATCGATAATCAATCTTGATCTTGTATCGACAAAATTGTCAATAACAGTATTAAAATAGTTCAACCTTTTTCTTAAAAACTTCAAGCATTGGTGTAATGTTGTCAATTTTGTAGTGGTGTTTAATGAATAAAGATTATTTAATGTCTTATTTGTAAAGTTGATAATTCGCTCGACTGATTTATTAATTAGTTGGTTAAACTTGGACATTATTTTCAAACCTAATTGTGGATTGTCCACTGACAAAAGAATAGAACAATTCTCATGAATTTTTTCACATTTTATCAATACCTGGAAGAATTCATCGTTAATCTCCCCATTCTGTAGTACATATTCCTCGTATACATCCAAAGTAAACTTATTTTGAAAGCTGATTAACAATCCTTTCTTTAAATTTATTAAGCTTTTGGTTTCATTCAAATTCTTGACCTCACCATTCAAATCCTTAGTAGACTGAAAATCTTTATTCACCTTCTCCGTGATCGAGTCTCTCAATCTATTTAAATTTTTCAAGTCGTTTTCCAAATTACTCAAGTTCTTAATGACCGGTTGATATTCCTTCAACATCAAGCCCTGCGTCTTAATAAGATCGTTTTCAATCTCGCCTCTTAATTTTTTACGTGAATTGGAGCCTGTAATCCCAGGCTCGACAAGAGCTTCTATATTTTCAATCTTCAAATCCAAATTTGCAAATATCTCTCTGACTAACGAATCAGGCATAGAATTATTAAGAACTCTAGATAATCTAGTTGATAACGTGGTCGTTGTTTTCGACCTATTCAAATCACTTTCATTCTCCTCCTCATTATCATCTTCCAAACTATTTATCAAATTTAAAGATAAATTAGCATACTTTTCTGCCAATTTTGTTTCTTCAGATTCACCTCCATCAACAGTAATGTCATCCTTTTCATCAAACTTTAATAAATTTTTAGTTAGACTATTAAAATTGGAAAATCGTTTACCTAAATTTTCAATATTCGATGTTATTGGCAACGACAACGCTGGTTGTGGCTGAGGTATTTCATCCTGCTGAAACGAATCAAAGTCTATGAAATCCATATCTATCTACCTGTAGATCTCTATAACCATTAATTGATCATACAATTATTAGCATATAATCTAAAGAGCGATCTGTTAATCCGTTGATGCAGAGTATAGTTGAGACGACTGTATATAATTATAATGTAAACATTGAATTTTTCACTTACAAACATACTATCAGTGGATATCTCAAGAGAAAAGTATTACAAACCATGTATTATATCCAGAATATACATAGAAAGACCCCGAAAAAACAATCCCAAACCTATATGGAAGCTAAAGAAATATATATATTCCAATAATTCAGCTAAATCTAAAATCATAAAAATCAAGATAAGATATCGTTTATTTTCATGCTAATCCTTCTTGAACGATTGGACGTTTGGTGGTGTTCCTCGCTGACTCCAGCTGCAAGAAGAATAGAAGAAATACCATTTCCAGAAGTATTATTGTTGGTTGGACTTTTCGGAATGGAAGCGACGTAGTCTCTATTTGATATTGGTTCGTGCGAAATAGGTGAGATTTGGGTCTGGCTTAGTGATTGAAGACACTTTGATGCATTGACTAAATCTATCATTTCATGATAAGACATATCAGAAGATGGTGTGTGCTGGACCAGATGTTCGGAAACCAGGTTGGTATGACTAGGTGTATGAAACGAATGTTGAGGTGTATGGTAAGGCGTATAGAAAATATGCTCAGCTGTGTGTGAAAAATGATGTGGGCTATGATACAGTGAAGACGACTGAGCATTTGGCAGGACGTGCATACTATTTTGGTAGGGAATCTGTAACGACAAGCTTCGATTTGATGTTAATGGGGCTGATTGGTTCTGGGGAAGAGAAAAGCTTGATGCGTTAGGTGTGTGGTAAGAATTGTGAGTTGACGAAGATAACGCATATTGAGGAGTATTTTCCTGGTATTGAAACTGCTGGTTGGAAACTTCTGCTGCCTGAGGAAAAGTGAATTGAGGTAGACGTTGAGGAATATTGTTAACAGGCATAGAATTTGGAGTTGGAAACTGATTTGCCAGAGGCATTGTCAAATGAGATGCTGATGATGCTCTTTTAATAATAGGTGATTCCAATAAAGATGTTGATCGCCGCTTGTCAATCTTATGAGTCTTCTTGCTCTGTCTAGATCCATTCTCTGCAGCAGTATCATTCATATATTCATCCAATTTTAGTTCCCCAAAGCCCTTATCATCTGGTTTCAAACATTCCAGCGGAAAAGTGTTTCCAAAAATTGGTATCAATTGGAATCTTATATGATAGCAAAATCGTTTAGCCAACATTTTACATAAATCAAATGGTAACCAAGTTCCTTGAATCTTCAAAAATCCTCCTCTAATGCGTTTGATATGCTGATGGTATTGTTTGGGAGTGGATTCAAGTAGCTTAACGATATCTGCCTTCAAATTCCTGTGGGTATTAACTTCATCATTTATTGACGCTTTCCAAATCCCTGTCAAATGAACAAATCCCGTCTCATAATCCCAAATGATCCAATGGTTATTGATATTATACTCGAATACGGTGACATAATTCCTTAATGGATCAATTGCAGATGTAGAATATTTCTTTGTTTCTATCAGAGGATAAATGGATTGCAAGCTAGACATATTGTCCGGTGAACTATCCAAACTTAGCTGATGCACAGGAAAGTTAACTTTATTGCACAAATGAACTCCAGAATTACCATGCGTCTTCGTGGATGTCTTATTCAGACTATTCTGGAATTTATTGATCAAGGGAAATTGTGTCTTCGGAAATGATTTACTTTTCTTGTGCTTGCCAATTGTTGGCGGACCAAATCCATTTCTTTCAGGAGTATAGGCGATTGGCGCAAAATTCATGCCAAACTCGTTATTAGATCCATAATTAAACTTGAATTCAGTATTTCTATTGGCATTGGCATTTATGGTATTATTCCTATCATATACATTATTACCAATATTGCCCCCATTTTCATTATTCGGGGGATTATTTGTGGGAAAGTATTGAACGTAACCTGGTTGATACGAATCATACGAAAATTGACGGGGCGTATTAAATGGTATCATAGATTTAGTTGGAGATTATTGAAGAAGGTATGTAATATAGATATTGAATATATGTATAAAAAGGTATATAGTATAGGAATAATTACTGGATCAACTTATGTCAAAGGTAAAAAAAGACTCCCATGCGTCCAGTTACTACAAGAGGCTTTATATAGAGGCAGTGAAGCAATGTTCTTTATTGTCAATAAACAATAGCTCCTTAACTAAAAAGAAATAATATTGCATATACTCATACGTCCCATAATGTACAACCGGATGGTTAATTAGCTCTTCCCCTTCAAAGTATAGCCAGGCATTGAATATGTGCGTTAAAGGAGGTAGTAGTTAAAGGAGGTAGTATTTACGTTAAAAGTAGACTGCGCAAGGAATGATCAAAGAATCAAAACCCGAACGGAGAGAAATGTGGCTAAATTTCCATTATACTAGACCACGTAGGTGAAAAATACCCTGATCCGTAAATGTCGTCTCGGAATTTTTCAGTTCTTCGGTCTGAAAGGATAAATAAAACCTACTATTTGGATAAATGATACATTTTGAAATATACTATTGGTCGAATTATCGTGATACTAACAGACTATAATAGTGGAAATAGTAATACGATGATTAGCGATGGGCCCATATGAAGGGCTAGATGCACATGCGGTGATGCAGGTTTATGTATTGGTAATGCCCCTAGAGATGGGATTGCAATCTTCTGATAAGATAACACAAACTGCGAATGACTTTCGAGACAGGAAAGCGACCACTATTAGATAGGTGTACTGGTGTTGAATGCGTAGTAGGTAAATGAGTGCAGATTTTGCGATGACTAGTTCCAATTTACGGAAGTGAATGATTTGTGGCAAAATGAATTGCTACTTATTATTGCGTCTGTTCTTCTATAAATATGAGAAAAGGAATTAGTGTATTAAAAGTCTGTTCATAATGTGTAGACAAGGAGCACCACGTAAAGTGTCCTTATGGTTGTAATATCTTGCGTAGCACAAACTTATTTTTAGAGCACATAATAAAATTATGGCGTATGACAGCACAATTCCACACTAAATAATGATTAGACTATGATCTAGTAGACGAATAATGTACAAATTTCGAATTTTCGCAACAATTAACAAACAATATATGAAATTACTCTGCTTTTCATCATTTTTTGAAATGAAGTTACGATTTTAGAAATACGATGCAAGTAACTTCCTTATCCCCTGACTACTGCAACAATAGATATAAATAACTTTAGAATAGATGGTGGTATGTCCTTAGGATTGTGTTTATAGAGCTTTTGCACGGACACGCACCTTTAGATCAAAAGTGAGGTGAAATCATCACTAATAGAATATACTTTATAGAACCCTACTACTACTATGTTTAGACCGTTGAAGTGTGCGGCGAGACAATTGTCTTTTGTTCGTCATTATTCCAAAGAACCAGAAAAGATAAATCGTCATGTATGTATTTTAACTACAAAATTATCTTCAGTATACTAACGTTTAGACCATCCTTTATAAGCAATTTGGTAAGGCCTTTACAAAGATGTGTGCAATCACTATAGGGACATATTACGGGCTACTTGGGTTACATGACTGGTTAGAATATGATTTGGAGAAGAAAAAATAGAATTATCCTTACTTAGAGAAATCTACTACTGGAAAGGAGGTGATTGACTTCCAATGCCATATTTGACACAAAAACCAAAGTTTAGACGTAATTCCCAGATCTTGATTATACTTGAAAATTATTTGGGTAACATGTTCATTAATGTATATATTGTTTATATTTACGTAATGGAAATCATAAGCATTTCCTGATTGCTATTTATGACTCCAAAAGAATTAAAAAATTATATTTGCTAGTTTTAAACTTGAACTTGCTTCTGCAACTTGTCAGAAACTGCATCCAAAAATTCAGTTGTGGTTACGTAGGATTCTCTATCGGTTCTGCCAAGAGCTAAAGCCAAATCCTTAGTCATAATACCGTCTTCTTGAACAGTGTCTAAGGTAGCCTTTTCAACAATTTCGGCGAATTTTACGACATCTGGGGTATTATCTAATCTACCTCTTTGAGCAATACCTCTGGTCCAGGCAAAAATGGAGGCAATTGAGTTGGTTGAAGTTTCATTACCTTGTTGATGTTGTCTGAAATGTCTTGTGACAGTACCGTGGGCAGCTTCACTTTCGAAGGCCTTGCCATCTGGAGTCATCAAAACAGAAGTCATTAAACCCAACGAACCAAATCCTTGGGCAACAATATCAGATTGCACGTCACCATCGTAATTCTTCAAGGCCATGACAAACCCACCTTTAGATTTAATCATTTGTGCAACCATATCATCAATTAATCTATGTTCGTACCAGATGTTATTGGTTTCAAATTCTTTTTTGTAGGTGGATTCATAAATTTCTTGGAAAATGTCTTTGAATCTTCCATCGTATTTCTTCAAGATAGTATTTTTGGTTGACAAGTATAATGGTAATTTCTTAGTTAATGCCATCTTGAAAGAAGAATGGGCAAAACCAATAATGGACTCATCGGTATTGTACATGGCTAAACCGACACCAGGACCCTTGTAGTCGTACACAGTTCTAGTTTCTGGAGCTCCACCGTTTTCTGGGGTAAAAACCATTTCCAATTTACCTGGTTCGTTAATGATCAAGTCCGTAGCCTTATATTGGTCACCATGTGCATGTCTACCAATGACAATAGGTTCCTTCCATCCTGGTACCAATCTTGGAATTCTAGGAATAATAATAGCTTCTCTGAAAACGGTACCCCCTAAAATATTTCTAATGGTACCATTTGGAGACAACCACATCTTCTTCAACTTAAATTCTTCAACTCTCGATTCATCCGGTGTGATAGTAGCACACTTGACACCAACTCCGTATTCCTTAATGGCGTTGGCCGCATCAATCGTGATCTGATCGTGAGTTTTGTCTCTACTTTCAATACCTAAATCGTAATATTTCAAATCAACATCCAAGTATGGGTTAATCAATTTGTCCTTGATTCTTTGCCAGATGATTCTGGTCATTTCATCACCATCTAATTCGACAATCGGATTCTTCACCTTAATTTTGTCCAAGTTGATTAAACTCGACGAAAATGAACGCATTGAAAATTTGCTGTACCCAGCCATAGCTGGATTTCTCATGACTCCACTTCTGAACATATTTTATGATTCAATTGTATATTAATCCACTAAATCAACTTAAAAAGTTTACCGATTTATATGGCTACGTTCAATTTATATGAAAGATTGGAGTGAGTCAACAAAAAAGCGATTCCGCACTGCTAACTCCGGTTCCGCTATTCTCGAGTCAATCAGAGGAGAAGACATCCGAATAACGAAAATACTACGTCAAGTTGTACAAGGTGCAGCATATTCTAACCCTTTACATAATCTGAACATGACCTTGAATTTTGTAGAACGTAGAACCGATTGGTGGTACTACAAGGGCCCGAACGGATTTCTGAATTTGCAATAACTATTATGCTACAAAGTTGACGAGACGACTCTATCCATACCAATCCATCCATATGAACTACATACTACTGTCCTCTTCATATAGTCTACGTGGTAATTGGTAAGGTTTCAGTGAAGGATATCACCTTCATATGGTGATGATGTTAATAAACACAAAACCGCGACATGAAAATTGCACCATCTTTATATCTCTTCCTATCCATCACTATAAATCAAAAAAAAAGTATAGTAAATAATCGCTAGTAACTGGCTAGCTATTTACTTAAATGAACGCTCTTATTCAAACCATAATAATATTTGTGCAGAGCTGATTATAAAAAGTAAGAACCTTGCAATCATTTAATTTGTACATCCCGGTAACTTTCTCTCTTGTATTATAAAAGTAAAGTAATAATGGACATAGACGAACCTTTCAATCCTGACTATTACCAACACTTACTATCGTCATTGACATTGAATTCCCGAACGTTGATTACTGAACTAACAACCATTGCAGAAAGGAATACAGATCAGGCATCGGAAATTGTTGATATTATAGAAGAAAGAATTAAAAAATGTTTACCACAGTATAAGCTTTTTACGGTCTACTTACTAGATTCTATTTGTAAGAATATAGGGAATCCATACAATTTGCTATTTGGATCGAGGCTTTATAAAATTTTCACTGAAACTTATTTGGTTGTGACGGATACACCCACAAGACAGAATCTAATCAACCTCTTCAAGACATGGACCAATGGTAGGACCAATTCTGGGTTGGAGTTATTCCCTGCAAAAGTTATACAAAGGATCGAGCAGTTTATAATACGAGCCACTTCGATTAGTCAAACAAATCAGCCGAGTCTTCCATTGAAACTAACTCCTGATATGCTATTGAGAGAAGGCAACTGCTTATTGCAGTACATCATTGTACTAAACGGCGAATTGGAAAAATTGCCCCAGACAAATGAAAAGCTAAAGGAGTTCGTTGATGCTAATAATAGGATTCGAAATAATGTTATCTCCGTGATCAATAATGTTAGCGACAGTATTCTAAGTAATTCGAAGCAAGAGTTTGAAAACAACGTTACGTCCTATCACACAGACCTACAGGGAGCAAGGAAGGTAATGGACGATCAAAGTTTCCAGCAGAAACAATTTTTGGGTCTGAATACGTTTAAAGAAGAGCCGACTAAAATTAAGATTGAAATCGACCTAACCCCCAATTTGAAATTTTTCCAATTCAATAGACCTATATCTGAAGATCCTGACCTATTAGAATACGTGAATGATTGGGGCAAACCAATAGTAGAGCGCATATCACAGATCCCGAAAACCGAAGTAGCACCTCCCGTGAAAGCACCAGTTAACAACCTACAAGAAGAACCGAAATCATCATCTTCCACACCTGAGCCATTGACTAACACCTTGGGAATGAATCTAGGGTCGATAAACTTCATGGACTCGTTCCTAGGATCGCCCAAGAACGAAATCTCCAAATCCCCCATTAACGAGATCAACGAGAATCCCGTCGACTCGTACGACCCAGAACACAGCATTGTTGATGAAGATTGGATCCATCCGCCTACATCTCATCCGAACTTGAAAAGAAAGAAGTCAATTGATAAACCTGTAATTAAAAAAGTAAGATTTGATATTTAGTATATAGTAACCTAAATTAAACAATTTATTCCATGAATGAACCAGCCTTCTTTAAATGCCAGTAAGTACTAACGAATGGGAATGCAAATAAACTACCTGTGACACCCCAGAACCAAAAACTAATAGGAATCTTTCTGTTCTTGACCTTGAAAGGAATGTTTGAGTAAACACCGGTTTTTGGACTTCCGAAAATGTTGTTGAAGCTTCTAGCTGAAGTTTGGAAGTTTCTGGTAGAAACCTTTTGGCTAATGAACTTTGATCTAGCTAACATCTTACAATATATTTCTTATAATATTCGACACTATGTATATAGTATGAAAACTTCATGGGACTTGATGAAGTGAGTCCATATTTATAAATTACACAAAACTCTTATTATTGACCAATGAAATTTATTTTAAATTTTCAACATCAACTGATTTTCTCAACCTACTATATGTATAAACGAGAGATAAAATTGTTATTTCTTTGATTAAAACAAGGGTTAGAAAATATAAGATGGCTATTGCTCCAATTACAGGTACATTAAAGAGAAAAATCATTACTGATATTTCCGTTGGTTTCGCATGTGGCTTTATTTTAGCTACTGGATACTGGTATGTCGAACACAAGCCATTGATTGTCAAGAGAGAAGCATACTACGCTAAATTGAAGGCACAACAAGAAGCTGAAGATTCTGCTTAGACGACATTGCATTCAATTCATTCGAAACACCATGTCATATTAAAATATATATGAATACACCTTTTTTAAGACAACGAAAATAAATGTTATAAAATTGAATTTGACAAACGATGGTAGAGCTTCTTGAATGAGAGAAGTGAGGAAGATTGGCTATGGATATACATACTTCTTTCTAATAAATTTTATTGAGAAACAGGGGGAGACTCCACGATTGTAGTATAAAGATATGGTGAAGTGATCAGCCAAGGATGCGATCCTGAGAACTCGGTTTATTGACAATTGAGTGGTATTCTTGGGGAATTGCGTTTGTAATTTTATGCTCTATGTACTCTACACGAAAGAGGAGGAATGCCACGGCAAACTAAACTATCTCTTGAAAACATCAAGCAATTTATCACTGTTTACTATACCACTGGTGAGGATAATGAAGCGTTTGGTGATACCGATCTTCTGTAATCGTTGTTCTAAGTATCTTAAGCAGCTGATTTCTCCTCTTGTAACGCCTCCAACAAATATAACCACCACATACTCTTCACCCTGATCGGCGTTCGAATCGACATTTCTATCATCCAGAGTATCATCAATATTAATGTCTGTTGTTTTTCCTTGTAGCATTGTATCTAGCCCGAGTTTATCCCAATTCGGTCTTTTGCTAGTATTATTCACAGGCTTATATTGAAGAAAGTCTCGTACATATAGTGATTCAATTATTCTTGAAAGCAATGGTACAGTATTTGACGGCAACGTAAACGAAGGATTGGGATACTCATCTATCAACAATCCAGATTTTGTTCCTGTTGACTCTTCAACTAGAGGATGTAAATTCCAAAATTTGTTTATCAATGTGTAATTACTTTTGTACGTATTACTTCCACCGGAGATACCTAGTTTAGTATTGATCTTATTTTCTTTATCATTATCGTCACTTTTATCTTGGTTGGTTAAGTATGTTAGAGCTCCTCCAAGCAAGTCATTATAATCATTAATTTTCACGATTTTATAATCAACTAAATTGTCGATAACAAAGATAATTTCCATACCAAAGTTGTCCAATATTTCATTATACACCCAATCAAAATCCCTTTCCTTAATACCATCGTTTACTGTCGATATTAAAATTATAGTTGATAATACAATTTTATAGTTGAAATTCTCTGCAAGAAAACCTCGCAAGTAAATGATCTGTGTTTTATAATCAATGTCAAATAATTCATTCTCGAAGTTTAAGAATTTTTCATATTCGTTATACTTCTTCCTGGATTTAGCCGGTTTATTTTCAATATCACCATTTCTAATGTAATTCAATATTGATTCCGATAAGAAGGTATGCTTCTTGATCAAGTCCTGCTTCGAAGTAAGGTTTCCCAAATTGCTTACCAACTTTTTCATTTCATTCAAGCTTTGGAGATTATCTCTGGTACTGAATTCATTCTGAATAAATATTGCTAACTTATTCAATTTAACACCAATCGAGGCAAAGTTTAAATGCTTTAATTCATTATACAATTCGTCATTTAATTTGTATCTGTTCTCTCCAACTTTAACATTGTCAATATCAATTCCAAATAAATCATCGATTAACCCTTGATAGTTCAACTGGTTTAGTATGACCGAAATAAAATCTAAATTCCTCTCGACAACCACTAAGTCTGTATTTCCCCTGGCCTTAGTCAAATAAAATTCCTGTTCTAAAGAAGAAAGCTTCAAGCTCAAATATTCAGGAATTCTCTCATTATTAATTATGTTAATCAATAAGTTCGCATGATCTCCCTTACCATAAATATTCTTTAACTTCAAGAATGACATATCAGAAGCTTTAAACGAATTTTCCAATAAAGTTATAAATGAATTAGACAATTCATACAATTGTAACAATGGTTGGTTAAAGTACGAGTCGAGTCCTCCATATGGTGCTTCAATTGATAACACCCGTGCCTCTTCGTCAATTACTATTGGATTTATTTCCCAATTATACAATCTAATCATTGATGTAAATTTAATGACCTCTTTACCAGTCCTAACATCACATATTTTCTCAAACGTAATATTACCGTTAAGAGATTTATTGATTTCGTAAATGAAAGACTTACTTAATTGTTTCACAATAATATGTATCTTTTTCTTTCCAATTTGCTTGATTGCCTTTAATAAGGCCTGAAGATTATCATTAGACTCGTTGAAAATGAAAATAAACCCATCGAATGAATGTAGAATACCCTGCTCTACGTTGTCTCCAATCCATATTGTTTTATCTATTTTTGCTATTTCCTTTAATTTCAGGAATGGGGTTAAAAAGTTTATAAGTGTTGATAAGCGTTGGTCTAAAATCAACAAATTTTTAGTTGTATAAACTCCATGCAATATATCAATCAAGTTATCAATTGCCCGTTTGTTCAACAGCTTTAGCCGCTGATCCAACATATTCAGATCATTGACCATAGTCTTGGTTATGATGGGGTACTTTGATGATAATTCATTCTCAAATTCTACACTGATTTTAAGAGCGCTGATTTTTGTATCGTAATTTTATTATACTAAAAAATGCTACATTTAATAAATATCTCCGACGAAAAGCTTACTTGATTATTCACAACTTGGCATTTCTTTCTATGCCATTGAAATGCACCAAACCTTCCTGAATAATTGTGGCAACATGAACCCCTTTCTCATTATACATTTCGCCTTCTAATAAAGCTCTATTATTGGAAAAATTGACATTTTTGAAACTAAATCCCATCCATTCAGTAACGTCAAAATCAGTATCATGGAAATACATTATATGATCTAAGGAAAGCGAAAAATAGTGAACGGTATTAGAATATTCAAGGCCAGGAATTCGCAATACTCTGGCCAATCTCGTCAAGAAAAAGGAATCAGATAAAACTCCTAAACCAACATAATGGAAGGCAGGATCCTTTATCTTTACTTCACCATCATTGCCCCATTTAACATAGAATGATAACTTTCTTTCGCTTGGTGTAATCTTGTCTTCATTTTCGGTTATGTCTAGTTGATTCATTTGTGGGGGAATCTTGTGATAAATTAGTCTGTTTTTGCCTCTAACATCTAGCTTCAAACTTTCAGATGGTGAATCCTTTAGCCACTTTGGATAGGGCGTACCAAAGCCAAATGGCTTCTGAACAGGAGTATCGTCTTCGTCTTCACCATATTCTTCTACCTTTTTCTTATACTGTAAATATTTTTCAGTCGAATCTTTATTTGAATTTCTTCTCGTTAACGAAATGTTGGCAATATACTTAATCTCCCCATTTTGGATAGCTCTCACCAGCCTGTTACAAAAATTGTTACCTTGACTTATAACTTCGACTTCATAATCCACTACTGTGTCTGGCGAACACGCCTTGACAAAGAATGAATGAAGCGCATGTGGAGTAAAGCCTTCTGGCGAAGATCTAATTGCCACTAGTAATGCTTGTCCAGCAAGATTTCCACCGTAGACTCCACGCGAAGATGGGTGAGGTTTCGTTAGTGGAACGTTACCTTGAAATCTGGTTTTTGAAATTTGCTTAACTCCTAAGTTGTATTCTACGTCTTCCATGTTGAATTATTACCAGATCTAATGACAATACTGAAATAAAAAGCACACCGATAGTTGAATTGTATATGGTAGTGCCTATTGTCTGCTGAGAAATACGTTTATATATATATGCAAAGACTTCGGCGCATGCTTATATCGGTTATTCATGTGCAAAGTGATTTTACCGAATTTCTATGCAAAACCATGTATCATTAGAAATCTACTTTTCTTATCATAAATATACAAATATTAATTCACAGAATTATAAATACCTATACGTAAGGATACAAATGTATCAAACAATTATAACTTATATGAGCCACCTACAGCCTTTTCAATGAATTTTTTGGGTATTAATGCTATAGCTTCTTGAATAATACTAACCACCATATTACCCTTTTCATTGAACACTTGACATTGACACAAGACACGGTCGTTACTCATTCTCGAAAATCTATAATCTAAAAAAAGCCACTTTGTTGGATCAAAATCAATGTCATGATAGTAGACTGTATGATCTAAACTGACTCTAAAAAAACTGAAAATGTCTATGCTCAAAGGTATTCCTAATGAGCACACTAAAAGCGAAAGATAGAGACTATCAGACGCAAAAGCCATGCTGACCAACTTGGCTTTCAATTTATCCTTAGCTAGGTTGACGTCATCATTGACTCGAACGAAAAACCCTATGTCTCTCATCCCCGTTTCCTGAGAAAGAAAATCGGAAGGCATTCCCGTACGGTATTCTGGGGGAATTATATGCTGTAAATTACCGTTCGTATGCTCATAATAAGGCATTTCGTCCAATTTGTCGTAGTACTTGTCAAAGAAATATTGAGGAGATCTTTGAAACTCAAACGGTATTTTGTTACCAGGGTTGGTCTCGTAATCTAGTTTTCTTTGTTGAATTGAATTATTTCTTGTAAAAGATGCAGTTAAAATGAAACAAAGTTGGTTGTTATGCTTTTGGTAACAATGCACTAATCTGTTGCAGTAGTTTCTACCTTGCATAGTCTTTGTTACTTCCCATCGCATTACAGATTCGTGGCTCCCAGCCTTCAAGAAATATGAGTGAAACGAGTGTGGACTGAAATCTGGATCATCGACAGTTTCCCAAGCAGCTAAGATTCCCTGTGCAACAAACTCACCACCATAGGTACCTCTAGCTCCTGCTTGAAATGGTTCTAACGGATAATTACCTTCCAAAACCGTATCTGAAATTTTTTGTAAAGAGAACTTCTCTTCTATTTTGCACACCGTAACGCTATCGTAAACTTCTGCAACACTCATGATTACTTCTGGAGTTATATGTGGGGTGAAGATAACTAAAAATGCACAATAATCACCCCATATTTGGGTCGGAGGACATAAACGATATTTATATAAGTGTTCCATATATCCACTTGTATCGCGGAGTTAGATAGCGATGTGCCGAGGATAAACCTCAAAATTTCTTTTGCTCCTCATATAGTTGATTGTACCGTGGATATTACGAAATCGAAGGAAATAGATGTTGACGCAGAGGCGACACAGTTCCACAAGCTCGGTACTCGCTCAAGGAGGGGTTATACAATTCAGAAGTTTTCGGCTCCTAATAATAGCGGAATTAGTAAGTCTATTAATTGTGTATATTTAGATCAGTGAAGATAAATAAGAATCTATAATTTAGCTTTGTGTTCAGAGCCACTATGGAAAAACACCAAACCCTCTTGGACAATACTGGCGAATAATTTACCACTTTCGTCGTAATAGCCCCCCTGTAATAAAACCCTGTTATTACTAAATCTTGGGGCAGAAAAATTGAAAAAAACCCATTTAGAAGGGTCGAATGAGTCGTCGTGGAAATAGATTGAGTGGTCTAAGGAAACTGAGAAAAAGTGATCACCTTTACCACCACTTTTACCGATTCCATCACCCAGAATAGGCAAATGTAATACTCTTGACAAGGAAGTCAAGTAGAGAGAGTCTGATACTATACCAAAGCCTGCGTACTTGTATTTTGGATCTTTGGAGACATCATCGATTCTAAGCCAGAATGATAAGTCTCTTTCAGCCGCAGATTTTTTTGATTCATCAGGACTTAATTTGTGATCCACAAAATCAGGAGGAATTTTGTGCTGTAATGTTCTTGTATGGTCGTTGTAGGTAACTGGTAAATCTTCATGCTTGTATTTGTAGAAATTCGAGGCTACTGGGGCCTGAAATTCAAACGGTGATTGCTTGTTAGGGTCTTTGGCGTACTCTTTGGCCGCGTTGGCTCGCGAATTCTTCTTGGTGAGCGAAATCATCACAATATATTTCATCTGACCTTTCTGGGATACTCTAATAAGTCTGTTGGCGAAGTTATTACCGTCATTTAACTTTTCTACCTCGTATTGACATGGCATGGTATCATCTCCTGCTTTAATGAAGTATGAATGGAGCGAATGTGGTGTAAAGCCGGCCTCACACGTTTCCATTGCAACTAGCAATGCCTGTCCACATAAGTTTCCTCCGTAAACACCACGGGAATTCAATGAAGGTTTTGCTAATGGCTTGACACCTTCATATTTGACATCTGACAATTTACGCAATTCGAATGCTTTCTCGAGTCTTGTCTGCTGGATAGTGATAGAATTATTAATCAGGACATCAGACATATTTGTGAATTTCTCTACTGTAAATAAATGCTGCAAAAAAAAAAGTATTATATGAAAAAGAATAAGCAAACCTATTTATATAAAATATTTTTATTAATACTCTTCTATCATTCTCAACAAAACTGCTTATCAGTTGACATGCCTGCAACACTGCCTAAGTAGTTTTTCTATTCAACCGAGGTTTAATATGTTGGCATCGATGAGATGCCAACATCACGTGATCGGATACACCAACCGATGCTCCATGGCTATTCATAGTTCCTATAGCTTAAGGTGATTGGCAACATCCGAGAAAAGGTAGGCTAAACCTTCTTGAACCACAGTAGCAACGCACGTACCTTCATTGTTGTATAAATGACCCCTCACTAGCGCACGGTGATTAGATAACCGTTTTATTTGGTAAGTGAAAGTCAACCAATCTTGACATACATCAAATGCATTCGTGTAATCGTCCGAGTGAAAATAGATATGGTGATCTAAGGACATCGCATTGTAGTGGAATATGTGTAGAATGTTAAAGGACACTTTGAGTAGGCTTCGTGCATCTCTGTTACTATCAAACTCTTCCGGAGCATATTTTTCGGTGGGGTTCCATGGAAAGTGCATTACTCTGGCGAGAGTCGTTAAGAGAGCGGAGTCTGATAAATCTGCTATACCAACATAATTGTAGAGGGGGTCCTTAAAAGATTTTCGCTGCTCAATTCCGCTGTAAACAGTAATCCAGCGGTCGGTCGGGTCCTGGTCCTTCTCATGGGGCACTAATTCATGGTCCAAGAATTCATCTGAATAGGCATTTCTAATATAATCGGTGTGGTGGACAATATGCAATTTGTTGGGATCTTCGTTCTTCGTGTGTACATGGGGAACATCAGATGGGTAGTCGAGATTTTTGGCTCTACTGGACTTACTAGACTGCGCCAAAATACCCTTCTTTCGTAGGGTAACCATGCAATTCGACTTAATTTGCCCATCCTGTACCACTTCAATCAATCGACTAGCATATGCATCTCCATCGAGCACTTTCGTCACTTTATACGACATTGGTATTTTATTACTCCCTGCCCCAATGAAGTATAGATGAAACGAATCGGGAACATATCCCGGAGCTGACTCCATACCAACTAGTAAAGCCTGTGCACATATATGTCCTCCGTAAACACCTCTTGCAATGCTCATGGGTAGCCTCAACGGATGTGCACCCACATAGTTATTTTCATCAATTTTTATAACCCGAAACGCTTCTTCAAAATCCTCTATCTTAGGGGACATCTTACACTAATATCTAGAGTGCAACAAGTATAAGCGTCAAATGTTGTCCTGGGTCAATTAAATAAGATTTTCTCGTTGCTTTATTGTATTTATACTTTATGATCTTTTAAGTGGACCCCGCAAAATCCGAGCTGTTCGCTCTTACATATGATAACTGTTTACGCTAATTGTAAATTACATAATACAACTAAATATACTTGTATAGTTCCATCTATTCTATATAACGTATGTATAAATACAACATACACTTATAAATATTCAAATTATTATATATCCATATGTACGTATGCATTACTATAGCTTCTATTACTCAAACGATCATCTCCTGAAAACGTTTTGGCGATAATTCTTCATTTCAAACGATTTATTTGGCAATATGGCTGACGGGATAGGAAGATCGTCCTCATCATCTGAATAATTGAACTCAATACTGTAATTTTTGTGGAAACTGGCTTCAAGGTCCTTGTTGGTATCACGAGGCTTCAACTTGTAAGAGGGTGTGTGAATCAACCTGGCTTTGACGAGTTTGTCAGAGAGAGTCAAATCGCTAGGATCATGGAGTTTTTCATCAACCTTCATAGCAGGCCTGACCTGATGAGCCGAATAGATATTAGATTTGGTATACTTTGGTAGATTATAGTTACTTCTATGCAGTGATTCAAATCTTCTTTGTTTTATGGTTAATTGGGCATCGTCTTCAAATCCGTCCTTTTCATTCAAATTATCTTTTGCTGCCTGATCAGTTTTTAAGCCGAGCAATTCACGTTGTTTGTGGTTAAGTGGTAAATCTAAACATTGGTCTTGACCTTTAGTCAACCTGTAGAATGATAGCACACAATTGAGAATGAATATTCCATATATCACACGTATAATCAATACAGCATAAAAACCAACAGTTCCTGGTTGGGCGTGATCATGTCTTATAGGAGGATAATACCCCCCAACACTTTGGAATGGCATCCGTCTATATTCATACAAGGTTAATATGTAGTTGCCAATAGCAACAGATAACCGGAAGGCCAATAAATACAACAAGTTAGCTCCTATTCTCTTAATTTCAACTTCCTTACGAGGTTGTCTTCTTAATGCCTCTTTAACTATAGGATTAAACCAATCACCCGTTGGGTTATTATTCTCATCTTCGATTTCATCTATCTCGTCGTCATCCTTCAAAAATAAAAAATTCTTTCGACCAATTTGAGGAGCATTAATAGCTATCGGTATCTTGTTTGTAGTTCTATCTCTGATGCTTCCCTTCTCAAGGTTCGGTGGTAGAAAGCTCTTGATGCCATATTGTGTGCTTTCGCTCGACGATGGTGGCCTATAATATATAGGTTCTTTCCCAGAACTAGCTCGTTGTTGCTTAAATGTATTGGTGTGATGTGGATGCCCCTTATGCCTATCTATGGTTAATTTGGTTTGATACAATTGAAATGCAACGTCACTTAAAGGAGTAAGAGATGCATTGCTATTATTTGGCGGATTCATAGCATTTCCTTCGGTAGACGAATCATCGCTTTTCTGAGCATTATTATCTTCCCGCATGCTATAGTATCGGTCAGACAGAACTTCACGGGCCTTGTTTGGTAATCTTACGTCATTCAATGAGTTGTTGGATAATTTCTGTAGTGGCGTGGAAAATTGTTCCATGTCAGTAGTCGTATCGTTTCCAGCATGCAAATTGCCACTAGAATATACTCTTTGCGATATGGGCGTACTGAAATGCTCAACGGCCATATTAATTAACCTATTGCAAACCTATATGCTATAATTACGTTGTCTATATATTTATGATGATTGAAATTTCTATACACAAGTCACGTGTAAACAGTACTCATTTTGGTCCCAATTTTCTATGTTTAAGTACATTATACACTAGCTTATGTTGGCCAACGGGACTATTGAAGGTCTCCCGTGGGCACATTGAAACGGTTGATTACATTCACTTAAGGATTTAATCAAGTACATCATTTCTTCAACAGTCAATTTGTCACCAAACATTATGGCAGATCTGCATGCTTTTGAATTTAGACAATCTATAATTACTTGTGGTATATGAACAACGTTCTGAAACCACCTTTCGGGTGATAAATTTGAAATATTCACTTTCTTTTTATGATATTCTAAATCGAATAGGTGTTGAAGAAGACATGATTTTAAAAAACCGACGTCATTACCAACTTTTTCAATCAATATGTGAGGTAAATGGGTAACAGTGAGCTTAAATTCTGCATTGGTAACATACCTGATTCCTAAGGATTCAAAATTTGATCCATAAGAGTTGAATAAAGATTTCTCTCCGTTAGAAGCCGTAAATGTGAACGGTTTATTTAACTCAATGCCCAAGGTTTCGTTGAGTAACATCAAAATAAAATCCTTCAATAATGCTTCAACTCGGATCCTTTCATCGCATGCATGCTGATCGGCTACTAATAAGGTTGGCAATTTGGCTGAAGATAAACTGTTAGATGCCGGCATTACAAGCAAAATAAATTTTCTGTCAACCTGGCTTATAATGCGATAATTGCCATCTATAAGGTCATTCTTGTCAATAATTGTTTCTTGTAGATCAAGGTTTCCAGCACCAGTATTCATAGATTCATTATTTCCGGCATTGTACATATTTTGTAGTTTGAATTCATTTGCAGAAAATTTTTGGGTATCTGTAGATGCTAATTGGCTAAAAGGAAGCTTTGAAGTATAATTGCCATCAATGTAATCAATGGTTGGCTTCAAGATTTCTCCTTTTAAATTTGGCTTAAACACCGGTACAAAAGAAATATTTTGTTTCAAAGGAGACCTCTCGCCTTTTTGACGTTTGGGACTTGGACTTGGACTTGGAGACACCGATGGACCTCTCGTAATATATTCGTAGCCTTGCGCCGACAAGAAGCTCGAGAATACATTACGAAGCATATTTAGGATTAGCTTCATATGATTTGAATAGTAGATACTTTTGGAAGGGTCTTGAAAAAGATCTTCAATGATAATCGGACACTGAATATTAATTATAAATACTGGAAAGCGTGAGAAAGACTTGCTAGTATATTGTTTACTAGGGGAGATCTTGCTGGGAGACAAGCTTATATCGGATGCAGTAGGTGTACGCATTCCCCCAAAGTTAGCAGCAAAAAATATTTTATTCAAATGTTTGGAATCTTCATTAGAAATCAATAAGGGCCTTTGATTAATAAAAATATGTTGAAAAGTCTTGGATTGCGACGGAAATAAACCTATTATACCATCTAATTTATAGTCTTGAAAAGTGGCTCCTAAGGTTTCATATTTTGATAGTAGAGATTGACCATATATGGATTCGAAAATTGTTGCATATCGAGCTTGTAATTCAGACTCATGACCTTTTCCGACAGAAATAGTTTTCTGAAAGTAACCTGATGTCAGGTCTAGTTTCATGAGTGTGAATTTAACATTAGGCCTACCGATTAATGATTGAAAGATCACTTGTCTAACATCCTCCATTAACTTATGTTCCGGTATTTTAAGTATCTGGCTTCTCCTTACCGGAACATTGGCAAAAAGACTTGTAGCAGTTACAATAGTCCCACTTTTTGAAATAGGGTCAAACTTGAAATGATTTTCAAGATAATTAGATTTTTCCTCTTCAAAATTATAAATGCATGCCTTTTGTTCTCGTTTGATTTCTTTCAATTTGGATACCTGTGGATTCGATGTATGTTTCGAAATTATCGATAAATGAGAAATACAACCAGTCGAATGCAATGCTTCACCTCTAAAGCCAAAAGTTTCAATATCTTTCAAACTTTCTAACAGGTCAATTTTCGAAGTAAAATATCTTCTGCCCACCTTTTCCAATTCCTCAGGACTCATACCTCTTCCATCATCTTCAATACATACACTTAAAGACCGAAAATCAAGTTTAATTATTACCTCATTGGCATTGGCATCTAAACTATTTTGTAATAACTCTCTTATTGCTGCTTCAAAAGAGTTTATGGTGATTTGTGATTGTAAGCAGCTTAGTACAGATTCGGGCAATTTACGTATCGAGCAATCTGTTTGTTTTATCAGTTCCATTTCAACATTGTAGAATGTCTTTTATACTTTCTATTGGCTATCTTAAACTTTGCTTTTCAAAAAAAAAAAACTGATAAAGATAGTAATCTTTTATTGATAATGAGCAGATAAAAGTAAAAAAGTGTAGCCGATAATTTTTTCAATTTCAAGGGCTAAATTATTTATATCGAATGGGTTCATATATTCAATGCTGTCGGTAGTAGTACTCAAGATAAATAATGAGAAGAATAGTTTTGAAAGGCCAAATGAAGTATGTATAGAATGATAATGGTAAAGGGGTTAACTTGTAACAATCTTAAATACTAACCTTATAGGCGGATTGGAATGATGATAAGCAATTAAAGTTAGAAAATTACGTAAAGTCTATTGCTAGTGAAACAGACAATGTGAATGATTTTTTTGAAAGAGTTGAATGGCCGTATTTAACAACTTACCTAAGTATTGGGAATCAGCAATTTATACAAATGAAAGTTGATGAGATATACGAAGAACAATATGCAACGAAAGTAAATGGAAGTGGAGTTAGTACAATTATAGAGGACTGGAAAAATAGAGATAACTCAATTTATAAGGAGGTTTGCCAACTAGTTGAAAATTTGAATTTACAAGCGTTCAAGGTGAATGAAGAAAATGGTGTAAATGAAGGTACAGATGATATTCAATCTCCAGAATACGATAACCCAGATCAGATTGATGGCCAATTATTAGGAGATAATATGGACGAGGGTTCGCCCTTACCAGAAGGAGTATCTAATGTAGATGGAAAAGCATCAACTTCCCCTAAAATAGACTTGCCTAAACTAACTACAACTCAAAGGAGAATGTCTTTAGATCTTATGTACACAGGTCCTAGGTTTCCTACTGAAATATCGGATCAAATACCAGGCTCAACTAAAAAGAGACCAAATTTAAGCAAACCAGCGTCTGCAACCACTACGAACATTAATGTTACAACTAAGACCGACATAAATACGAATTCAAACCAAAAGCAAGTAATGGTTTCAAATAGTAATCGGTTTCAAAACTTCCTGCGTAAAATTAAGCTGAAAATCACTAGAAACGTAAGTGAAGTTCCACCATCCCCAAAAAGTCCTTTAATCGTTCAACTTGATGATACTTTGAAAGGTAAACCGGAAAATATAGTCGACAATTCTAAAAACGTTCATGATAAACAAGGAAAAGACAAAAGTCGTTATAAAGATTCGGCATTGAAAAAAGGAAGAAGGTTTTCCTTGGTTGGAGAGAATTTACCATTGTACATAAGACAGCAGTTAGAGGCAAATTATTCTAATCAGAATCCTGTTCTTGAAAATTCATCCTTTCAAGTAGATTCTGCATCCTCTCGATCTTTATCAAGAAGACAATCAAGAATGCATAATCTTTTAGAAAATTCACAATCTTTGTATTCCCAATCGAAAGATTTATCTTTGGTGGGCTCCGGGGTGAACCAGGATGACGATACTATGCCAAATACGAGTGAAATTGAACGACTCAATGAAAACACTAATGAGACTGAAAACGGGTCTGATGATGACAAGGAATATATACTGCCTGATCTGTTGGCTCGATATTATGGCAGCGATGCCAATGAGGAAGACCTTATGGGTAATATCAATGAAATAGAGGACGCTTTTGACTTTATAAACGTCAGGAGCTACGATGCATACGAAGACATGGAAGGGGAAGACGAGGAAGAAGACGAGGAGGAGGAGGAGGACTATAAGGAAGATGATGAATATCTTTTTAAAATATAGCGTTAGATCATAAATCTATAAATTCCTATCAATATTATTATAATTTTTTATGTTTACCTGTGAATTCTTTAATAGCACTAAGCGAATATTCATAAGTGAAAAGCGATATTGCACTTGTAGGTGCACTTTTTAAAATGCTAATACTGAACCCCTTGTAAAATCCGAAGATCCCTTCATTCTTAAGTATGGTTTTACATAATTGAATCGCCTTGATTGAGTTTTGATCTATATCGCGAGTTTTCGATATCATTTGGATCCGCTTTCTTAGGGTGTCAAGTGGAAAGGTTAATCCCTTCGCAGTGGCACCAGCTATAAAACCACAGAAACCTTCTAAAAATGGGATAACATCTTTATAATTATTTGAAAACTCACGAGCTAGTTCATATGACCAGAACATAAGGCCCGTAGACGATGCTACAGAAAGTAAACCAGGGGTCAAGCCTTTGCAAAATCCCCTAATACCATGCATTTCATATATCAGTTTGATGGTGGACAGCATAGACAAAAAATGGGCTTCTGAGTTAGCCGCTAGTCTTGTTCTCAATAAATCAAACGGGTATGTAAAGAATGTGCTTGCTAAACCAGATCCGGACCCAGCAATTAATGAATGTGTAGAGTTGCTTATGGTAAAAAGATTACGATTATTCTTTTCAAACTCCGATAATGCTTTGCTCAAAGCTGAATAAGAAGTAAATTGTATAGCACCGTACAAAATATACAATATTTCTGCAGGGACGTTTCCCTTCCATAAAGCTTTGACACCTTCATTCTTACAAATACTAACAAAAGTTTTACTGGCACCTTTGTAAGTAGCATATCCCTGTATCTGAAGCTGTAACCTTATCTTTATTGTATCTAATGGTGCAATTATTCCTCTATATCAATTGTTAGTACCTATCGTTCAATCTGATGACGCAAATTAACATA